TTCCTTCCTTCCTTCCTTCCTTCCTTCCTTCCTTCCTTCCTTCCTTCGGAAGCCATATTGAGATCTGATGGTCCCACGCTGCTACATCTGACCCTGGGAAAGTGGGAGGGGGGAATTTATCGGAGTGTATTTCGTTAGACATAATAACATTCTTTTTCTGATTCAAGGTCAGGTTGTGTTGCGCATAAGTGAGAGGAAGTCTTCACTTGGGGCGGATGGTGATTGGGCCATGTGATGTGATGATGGTTGCAGGGGATGGATTTGTAGTTTTTACTTATTGTAAAGAAACCTGGAACTTTCAGATTCGGGATACCCCAGTTGTGCCAGTTTACTATCCAAATTTTTTTTAAAAAGGAATTTTTTGAGAAGATGTCTGTCTCGGAGTTATTGGGCAGAATGCAGGGTTTCTGGAACGCTGACAACTTCCTTCCTTTTTTTCTTCTTTTTCCTTCTTCCCCTCTTCCCTTCTTTTCCCTCCCTTGCTCTTTTCCCAACTTCCCTTCTTTTTCTTTTTCTTTCCCTTTCCCCTTTCCTTTTCTCCTTTCCTGTCCCTTCTTGCATGCTCAAATGCAAAAGGGGAAACATTTCTCCTTTGGTTTTCTTTTTAGTTTGTTTTGCTAGCTCTCTGCCCAGCGAAAATGCAGCTCAGTTTTCGCTGGCAGAGGCACCAAGGGCCAGTCCTTTGCTGATTCCAGGGTGGCTCTGCGGGCCAGATTTAAACACTAGCTGCATCCAGCCCACAGCCTTTGGGTTTCACACACCTGCTCCAGCACCACTCCACCAGTAATCAGTACTCAGATCAGCATAGCTTAAACCCCGACATCAACAATCAGACAAACAATCAAGTAAGCAATGTTTTCGTGGTGTGGAGACAATAACTTGGTCCTCAACACCAATCAGACCAAGGAGCTTATAGTGGACTATATAGAAGGAACAGATCAGATATCCAGCCCTTGCTTATCCATGGTGACCGAGGGGAGAAAGTGGCCAGTTTTAAGTTTCTGGGTGTCACCATAAAAGAGGACCTGATCTGGGGTGCTCACATTGCAGCCCTGTTCAAAAGGGCCCAGCAGAGATTATACCACCTGAGGTTTCTCAGGAAACAACAACTGAATGGAAAACTGCTGGTGACCTTCTACCGCTGCACCATAGAGAGAATTTTAACATACTGCACCTGTGTATGGTTTGCCAATTGCACCGTGGCAGATAGGATGGCACTCCAGAGGGTTAACGTCATTGCCCAGAAGATCATTGGTTGCCCTCTCCCCTCTTTGGAAGAGCTTTATAGCTCCCGCTGCCTTAAGAAAGTTTAAAACATCCTCAAAGATCCATCTCATCCTGGAACCCTTGTTTTGAACTATTACCACCTGTCAGATGGTACAGGACAATAATAAAAACAAGGACAAATAGGCTGAAAAACAGCTTATATCCCAGGGTAGTAACTCTATTGAATTCTACTGTCTAGTGCAATATTAGTGCAATATCAGAGGTTTTCAATTCAATGCATAGAATGTGAAGGATGTGTGTTTGTGTTGATTTTCATAGTCATAATGTACACTGAAGATGGTATTTAATTTCATTGTATGAGGTGCAATGACAATAAAGTAAACTAAACCTAAACGATACCCCAATCAAGGAACTGCCAAAGAGCCATCAGTAAACAGCCCAGCCAATGAATCTCTAAGACCCACCCACACAGACAAGTCACCAGAATATAAACTGGCAGCAAATAGCACTCCTTACTTCCGGTAACACTGATGATGTTACCTAGTTGGGCAGGGGTCGGATTCAAATTTTTTGGTTGGTTCTGTGGGCATGGCTTAGTTGGTGGGCATGGCTTGGTGGTCATGTGACTGGATGGACATGACTTAGTGGTCATGTGACTGGCTGGGCGTGGCCAACTCAATATCACTCACATCGAGGCAAGCATCTCCTCGCCTGGCCTCTCATGACTGTGGGGATGCTGCAACAGTCGTAAGTGTGAAAAATGGTCATAAGTCTCTTTTTTCAGTGCCATTGTAACTTTGAATGGTCACTCCACACAAGCAAAGTACCAGCAAAGGAGGGGGGAAAAACTCCAGAGAAGTTCCTGAGACAGGAAGTCTAGTCCTGCCAAGAATGTAATAAGGGTTAATGGAGAGGCAGTTTCTGTAAGCAACACCAGAATGTTTCCTTCCTGCCTTCCTTACAGGATTAGCCCAGTAATTTCTTCTAACAACCGGTTCTCAGAACTGCTTAGAATGTTAACAACCGGTTCTGGCAAATAGGTGCGAACTGGTAGAATCCCAACCCTGTAGTTGGGTCATGAAACGTCTGTAAGGAAACAAGCCAAGCTCAGAGAGACCCAAGGACCCCTTCATTTCTGATCTCTTTCTGTCCTTCTTTCTTGCAGCATCGATGGGGTCTTTGATGTGGCCTTGTATGCCAATGCTTTGGTGTCTCCTGATGGGAGCATCACTTGGCTGCCTCCAGCTATTTATCGGAGCGTCTGCTCCATTGTCGTCACCTACTTCCCCTTCGATTGGCAAAATTGTTCCATGGTGTTCCAGTGAGTCCCTTGGTGCTCCCTTTGTGGTAGGATGGGGAGGAAGGGAGGAGTAGGATGGGGAAGGAAGGCCTCACCTGAGTTGCCTTCAAGATCTTCTTGGTGGCTTTGGGCGAAGGTCTCCGGATTAAAGCACAGCCATTAAAACATGGCTACATTTGGTGGGACTTTCAAACCTGGTGGGACTTTCAGATCATCCCTTCCAATCCTGTCATTGGCTGAGTGGTCCAGATCATAGAGAGGAGAGGAGGAAGAAGGGCTGGGGTAGGTGATGGGGGTGGTGGAGGTGGAGGAGTTGGAGGTGGAGGAATTGGAGGAGGAAGAGGAGGATGAGTTGGAGGAGGAGGAGGAGCTGGAGGAGGAAGAAGAGTTGGAGGAGGAAGAGGAGGAAGAGTTAGATATGGAGGAGTTGGAGTTGGAGGAAGAGGAGGAGGAGGAGTTGGAGGAAGAAGAGTTGGAGGAGGAAGAGTTAGAGGA